CCTGGCCACCTGCTGGTGCCCACAGAGGTGGAAAACAAAGCTCCTGAGACATCCAGTGGGAACCCTGGGACTGACCTGGAGCTGTCTGCGGTAACCGACAGGGTCAGCGAGGCCCCCACTAGCCAGGAGGTTGCACCAAGTGCAGAACAAGGAACACCGTCCAGGAAGCCTGACCCTCTGCCCTCCAAGGAGGGCATGAGGCTGACTTCAGGGCCCACCTCCCAGACCCCAGGACCTCCAGGGCTGCCAGACCAGGCCAGGGCAGCTTGCAGTGGTGGAGAAACACCTCAAAGGTAAGGGAGCTTTTCCAAGCTGGGCAAGGGGAGGAATTAACTAACTGCAGCCCCACAGCTGGAGTATGGCCAGTGGGCCCGCTACACGTGTTGTGTGTCTACTGAGTGCATAGCACTGGGCTAGCCTCATGAGGGGAAGACAGAAAACTTCCTAGGCCCTGCATTTGGGAGCTTACAGCACCGGTTCTCACTTGCTGCCCACAAGAATTTTTTTTACATGTCTCCACGTGATTCCAATGGAGAGCAGGCTCGAGAATCACTAGCTCGTAGATCAATAATAATAGTTAAAAGGTGGGGCTCATGGAGCACTTCCCACCTGCCCAGCATTGGCTGAGCACTTCCCAGGCATCATCTCATTTTATTCTCACAACATCCCCAGGAGGAGGTGAATGTGGTCATTGTTCCCATTTTATTGATGAGGAAAGCTAGGCTTATAGGGCCCAGGGCCACCCAGCAAGGGATTCATAGAGTTGAGATATGAATCCAGGTTATTGGGTGCCAGAATCTGTGCCCTTTCCCTAACCACTATACATCCTGCTTCCTCAGGTCAGTGTTTAATTGGGTCCTAAATAGTATGGTGAGACAAGAGGACTCAGAGGTGGGAGATGGGTGCAGGCTGAGTCAATCCAGGGGGCTTTCAGGAGGATCATGCCGGAGGTTCTGGACATGGAGTTGTGACAGCTGCCCTGACCCTTAGGACATGGCCTCAGGCCCTGCAGTCACCGGACAGGAGACTCCCAAGCCCTCCCTAGCCCTGGATTCCTCAGCCCTTTGGGATGGCACATCCGGTTTCCAGGGTGGCCCATTGGAGGGCACCGTACTTCCTGGGCTTCTCTTGGAGGGCCTGGTGCTCCTTGCATCTGCCCTGGGCTGCCCTGTCCTATAACTGAGACACCAAAGCCTGGCTCAGGGAGGGGCTCTGGTGTCTGTGTTTGCTGTGGCGACTGGCAGAGAAGCCCAGATCATTTGTCTGTCTTTGTTCTGGAAGGAAACGGGAGCCTCCCAGGAGACCTGACAGGCCAGAGGGAGGGATTCCTGGCAGGCATCCCTGGATCTGAGCCAGCCCTCTACATGTGGAATCTAGGGCTGGGGGTGAACTCTCCATGAACTTGTCAGGGGCCCCAAAAAGGTTCTGAGTGAGAAGAAAAGATGCCTATCTCAGTTTCAGCCCTGAACTAAACTTCAGGCATGCCGGACCTGCAGCAGGTCTCAGGGAGTGGGCTGATCACTATCTGCCCTTCCTCACCCACTGCGTGGGTGGGTTTTGAAGAGAATAGGTTTGAAGTCAAGTGTCGGCTCTGACTGTGTAGACGATCAGTGGCTGTACACAGTGGCCGCCTGTGTAGAGGATTCTGAGGCTGGACCTGGACTTGGTGGCACAGAGTGCTGAGACTGGTTGGCAGTACCTGCTGTGTGAGTGCTGCCAGTGGGTAGGAGAGTTTTGGGAGCTCCAAGTGGCGTGGACTGCTTGACCATGCCTTTGGGGTCATCCCATGCCCCCCTGGATATGAAGACCCAAAGGCGGAGTGTGGACTGCTGGCCTGCTCAGCTGATGACCTGGGTCCTCCTCTCCAGCAACTGGTTTGCTGCAGTTTCCCGTGTCTTTTGGTCTGGGATGAGGCCCAAGCTAGGTGTGGGGTGGCTTGACTTGGATGTCACCCTTCCCATTCTACCCTGTCATCACTGACCCATACTCAGTTCCAAGGGGCAGAGTGCTGGAAGGATTTGTGCCTCCTGCACAGTGCTTGGCTGTGGACGGGATGCTGAGTCTTTCAGATGCACCCAGGGACAGACACTGCCCTCAGAGGTCCTGCAGCCCAGAGAGGGGGCTGGGCCTTCAGCTGCTGGAGAAAGGCCTCACTCTTTTTTTGCTTTTTCTAAAAATTGTGATAAAAAGCACATAACATAAAATTGACCATCTGAACCAATTTTATGTGTACAGTTTAGTACTGTTAAGTGTTGTCACGAAACAGATCTCCAGACTTTTTCATCTTGCAAACTGAAACCCTGTACCCATTAAACAACTTCCCATTTTCCCCTTTCAGTCCCTGGAAATCACCATTCTACTTTCTGTTGCTATGAATTGACTATACCTCATACAAGTGGAACCACACAGTATTTGTCTTTTTGTGACTGGCTTATTTCACTCACCATAATGTCCTCAAGGTTCGTTCATGTGGCACGCGTCAGAGTTTCCTTCCTCTTATGCCATGTTTTGTTCATGCATTCATCGAACACTTGGGCTGCTTCTACCTCTTGTCTATTGCGAATAATGCTGCCGTGAACTTGGGTGTACAGATATCTCCTGGAGATCCTGCTTTCAATTCTTTGGGATATATACCCAGAAGCAGAATTGCTGGGACATATATTTGGTAATTCTACTATTACTTTTTGAAGAACCTCCACCCTTTTCCATAGTGATTGCACTATTTTAGGCCTCACTGTTTGAACCTGCATTTGTGTTTTCCTGTCTTAGTTGACTCTCTCAGCACATCTGTAAGGTATTACCATCCCTGTTTGACAGGCTGGACTTGTCCAAAGTTGTTCAGCAACCTGGGGGCAGAGCTAAGCTCAGAATTGACGCCGCCTGGCTCCCTGACAAAGACTCAGTCCATGCCAGGCAGCGTCATCTCCTCACCGTCCCTCCCCCTGCCCCAGCACACATGGGCTCCTTGGCAGTGGGATTGTGATCCAGCAAAAAGAAGCCCCACTGAGGGGCACAGTGGGGGGCACCTCTGAAAGGAAGGATCTGCAACCCAGGGGGATGTGCCTGCTGGGCTCAGGTCCTTCCCTCTGAATGTCAGGGCTCAGAGGGCCTTCTCAGCCTCCAGCTCGAGTCACAAGCCCCAGTGCCGCAGGGTCTGGGTAGTGAGAATGAATGAGGTGAGCCTAGTGGCACTGCCAGGGTGCGGCAGGCCTGTGGGAATGTAGAGCTGCATTCTTCAGCTCCGTGGGCACACAGGCCCAGCATAGTCGGGTCTTCTGTTTGTTCAAGAGAAACAGAAAGTCCAGTCTTTTATGAACAATTGCCTGATTTTAACCAAATATGTCTGACCTGGGGCTCCCAGTGTGATGTTTGACTTGACTCCTCCTTTTCTTCATTTAACTGAAAGGGAAACTGAGGCCCAGAGGAGGGTGAGAAGAACACTGGGCTCTTGCCTCAGGCCATAATCCTCCTGGGGAAGAAGCAGGTTTCCAGGAGCCACAGAGTGTCCAGTTCCTACCTCTGTCTACTGTAGGTTGTCTCAAGTCTTCCCTGGACCCTCTTCCAGTGGAATCCTGAGAACTGATGGCACCATCTGTCACTGAAGTGGCTCCTCCCTTGGTGTCCTGTCTGGGAAGAGGTGGCCAGGGGTCCAGAGAGGCAGGGGTTGGAGTCTGCTGATTCCAACCACAAGTTAACTCTTACTGTTATAACAACCCCAAGGTCCTCCATTTTACAGATGAGAAAACTGAGGCCAAGAGGCTGATGTCTGTGAGTGGTAGCATAGGCATTTGAGCCCAGGCCTGTATTGACTCCAGAGTCCTCACTTTAAACCTCATGGTCATATTTCTCCCTGCCCCAGGATCTCCATCCATGTACAAGAGATGGACACTCCCGGGGAGCTTCTAGTGACACGAGGGGGAAGCCTCAGACCCACACCTCCTGCAGGGGCTCCAGCAGCTGCCCATCCAGGTGAGCAGGACCCACCTGGGACCAGGAGCTGCTCTCAACCCCCTGGGACTGAGTCGAGAGAACAGACCCCCAAAGGAGCCAGAGAGCTTTCCCCACTGCAGAAGAAGGGCGGCGAAGGGAGAGCAAGAGCAGAGGCGAAGCAAGGGCCTGGGGTCGAGCCCGTCATGGCCAGAAGGGACAAAGGAGGTGATACTGCTGGCGCCCCAGGCCTGCAGCAGGACAAAGGCCCAGGAGCAGGAAACCCTGGGCTGGGGAAGGACTGTGCAGCCGGGGGCCTGGGGCAAGCTGAAGCAGGAAGGAGGACACCCATGGGTGCTGAGGCTGGAAGCGTGGTTCTGGGTAAGTGAGGCTGTTGCCTGGCTTGACATGAGCCCTGAGGTGAGTGGGTTTGAAGGCTCTACTCCTGGGGGCCTTCCTGCAGCTTCCAGGCATAGATAATGAAGATCTGGGGGAGTGCAAGTCTTGGGAACAGCTTGTCGGTACATCCGGGGCTGGAGACCAAGGCACAGAGATGCAGAGGGCTGAAGTCAGATTGGCTGTAGTGGTCAGGGAGGAGGGGACTCGTGTGGCCCAGTTGGGTAGATTTCTCAAAGCCACCTGCCTGCCCGAGCTTTCCACCATGGGTATCACTTGCGATTGAGACAGAGAAGGCTCCTGTTGAAAAACAAAAACAGTGACTGGTGTGCATAACCTCTATCAGCCATTTGCACCCAGTGGGCTGATTCTTACCCCAGGATAGGGAAGGGTGGCAAGACTGCTGACCTGCTTGCCATCCCAGGGGTAGTGGGGGCATCCTTGTGTTCTTGTGACCTGCAGCCCTAGGGTCACACCCTCCTTGGTTTGAGAGTTGTCCATGGAACACTAGGAGTGCTCCCTGTAGTCAGAGCACAAGCAGAACGCTCCTATGACAGGCCCGGAACAGGTGCCAGCCCACGCTGCTGACTTCCTGCCACGCTGTCTTCCAGCCCAGAATGCACAAGCTGGCTCACGCCTTCCTGTTTGGTGCATATTCCTTTACTCTATTTCATGTAACCTTTTTAGGTATTCATACCACCTCCGAAGGACGAGATTTAAAAAAATCCTACGCCATTTTTTTTTTACCTTTCCAAGTGCTGGCTGTCCTCTGCTTCCCCTGCAGATCCACTGCCCACCCCCCTCCATCCTGTGCCCTGGGGGCTGCCTCCGTGGGCTCTATCACGGGCTCTCATCCTCTGGCTTCTGATTGGGATCAGCTGGAAGGAGATGGAGGGCGAGAAGAGAGATGGGGTGGGGTGTTTACTTCTCTGATGGCCTCCCTCTCACACCACCCGTGCTCGTTTCCGTAGCCCAGACTTTACCTTTAAAGACTGTCATTATGAAATTGCTGCATTACTCTGTTCAAGTGTGCTGTGTCCTGCGCCTTGCCCTGGTCCACCTAGAATCCCCTTCTAGACTTCATGAACAGACTGGATATAATTACTTGACCTTGCCAAGAGGACTGTCCTTGGTGTTGGGAGACCTGGGTTTGAATCTTATCTGTCACTGGCTCACTGTGTGGCCTTGGGCTGGTCACTCCACCTCTCTGAGATTCACCTTCCTCCTCTGCCTAATGGGCAGCTCCCATGAGATGATTCTTGAGAAAAGGCTTTCAAATGCCAGGGCTATATGAAGGGCAAAGGGCTTGTCACTCGGTGAACCAAGTGTGGTTAAGTGGTCTGGGACGGGGTGGCTGAGAGGTGCAGGCTGCAGGCAGGAGGCTCACACGTCCCTTGTTGTCTCCGGAACAGATGACAGTCCAGCCCCGCCAGCCCCTTTCGATCACCGGGTGGTGAATGTCAAGGAGACCTCGATCTCAGCGGGTTACACAGTGTGCCAGCACGAAGTCTTGGGAGGGTAGGTGGGCGTCCACCTGGATGAGGGGTGGGAGTAGACACACCTGGCGAGCTGAGCTGGGCACTGCTGCATGGTTCTCAGGAAGTCAGGCCAAGGCTGGGAGTGGGATATCCTGCACAGCTTGGGAGTGCATGGATGGCCCACAGAGCTGGGTGAAGGGAACCTCCCTAGAGCACAGCACAGCCCACATGGTGTGGGTGAGGTGAGGTTCAGGAGGCCCGCACAGCACAGATATGGGAAGCATGTCTTGGAGGTGGCAGGAGAGCCAACCTGGGTGGGGTGGGAAGGATGTCCTCTAGGGCACAGGACAGCTGGTGTGCTGTGGGTGAGGGGGATATCCTGTGGAGCAGGGTAGCCAGATGGTGTGGGGAGGATATCCCCTAAAGTGCAGGACAGCCCATGTGGTATGGTGTGAGGGGCATATCCTGTGGTGCAGGGTAGCCAGGTGTTTTCAGGTGAGGAGAATATCCCCTAATGGGCTGTGGGGTGAGGGGGATGTTTGCTGGGGGGCAGGACAGCCCAGGTGGTGTTGGGTGAGGAGGTTTTCCCTTAGGGTGTAGGATAGACCACACAATATGGGGGTGAAGAAGTTGTTTTCTAGGTTTCAGGATAGCCCATATGGTGTGGGGTTATGACCAGGGTATGTTCTGGGGTGTGGGAGAGTCCCCATGGGATGTGTGAGGAGGAGGGAGCAGGACCAGGAAGCCCAGGGTACTATCTGTGGGGCCAGCCTCCTGGGCTCTCAGCCTCCTGTGTCAACGGGTCTCTGCAGGGGCCGGTTTGGCCAGGTCCACAGGTGCACCGAGAAGTCCACGGGCCTCCCCCTGGCGGCCAAGATCATCAAAGTGAAGAGCACCAAGGACCGGGTGAGGCATCTGCCCCGGGCCAGCTGGGTCCCTCTAGCCATGCTCAGGGCTCCTTCATTTCCTCCAGGGTCTCCTAGGTCCAGTTGTCCCAGGCGCCTCCACACTGCGCAGGAAACGTGCTGCCTTCCTGCCTCTTTTCCATGACCCCCCACACACCATCAGCAAGTCATCTTTACATCCCTCAGGCCAGACCTGCCTGTCCACACACAGGTGTCCAGGCACAGCTCTGCCAAGAGGCCTGGGCAACAGGCCCTTTTCCTCTTGGGCCTCAGTTGTCCTATCTGTGAAATGGGTGGGTCAGACCAGGATCCTTTCTGTTGTGAGAATGTAGTTTGGGTGGGGAGTCAAGGAGACCTAGTGTGAGAGCAGGAAATTGAAGGATGAGATGTCTGTCTGTCTGTCTGTCTGTCTCGGGAGGCACAACTCCTCTTCCTCACCCATTTGCTTGGAAACCCCTCTCTCCTGTGGTTCTGCAAGGAGGATGTGAAGAACGAGATCAACATCATGAACCAGCTCGGCCATGTGAACCTGATCCAGCTCTATGACGCCTTTGAGAGCAAAAACAGCTTTACCCTCGTCATGGAGTTGTGAGTGTCTGGGACGTGGGGCAGTGGCTTGTCCTCAGGCAGGCCAGCCCTCGGGGCTGGCGCTCAGAGCCTTCATTCTACGCAAAGCAGTTTCTCTCCTTTCCCGTCATGGGACATCTGGGGCCATGTCATCCCTGCTTCTCTGGCTTGGCTTCTTGACCTCCAATATGGAGCATGGAGGACAAAGCCATTTTGTCACAAACCAATGGCCATTGAACCTGATTTGACCTGCAGATGTATGTCGGTTTGGCCTACACAATTTTCAGTAATTTTGCATT